TCCTTCCCCCCTCAAATCTGAACACTCATGAGAAATATACATTGAAAACCAGCAAACCAGCTGTTCATATGCTGTCATGCCAATGTTAAAGCTGTCTGCACTGTAATATTCCCAACAACATCAAAGCATGTTTTGAGGGTGTCATGTGATCGCTGGGGCGCGTCCTCATTTTAGGAAGGGATCGTTATAGTTCCCTCTGTCTGCATGTGGGGATCAGCCCAGAAGTCGTCTTCCGGGCGTTGGAGGAGCAGAAATGAACTCCCCCTCTCATGTGCCTCTGAATATTGCTAAAAATGAGGGTGGCTGTAGGTTAGATAATCAGGAGGCATTCCCAAACATTGCCGGGAAGTAATGCCCACTGAGGGATCACAGAATATTAGTCACGTAAGACATTTTTTTTTGAGTTGGAGTCTCACTTTGTCAACCCAGGATGGAGTGCAGTGGCACACTCACAACCACCCCAGCATCGACCTGCTGGGCTCCAGCAATCCTTCAACCTAAGCCTTCCAAGTAGCCAGAACTACAGGCGTGTGCTACCACACCCGGCTTATTTTTTGATTTTATTGTAGAGATGAGTCTAGCCAAGGTGCCTGGGTCGGTCTTGAACCCATTGGCTTAGGCAATCCACTTGCCTTGGCCTCCCAAAGTGCTGGGATGACAGGCTGAGTCGCCGAGCCCAGTCATGTAAGACCTTTAATAGGTGATGTGCAAAGGAGGACACGTGTCCAAAACACCAACTGTGATAAGGACTCTCCCTGTGCATGGATGTGGGTACACGTCTGTCTTCTTTGGCAATGTGCTCCTTGCCATCAGAGATGCAGGCTTCGTGTCTGCGATGCCACTTCTGAGCAAGGACACATCTTTGACTTGGGCTTCCTACAGGAACTACAATAGCACTTGGCGCACAATTAATGCTTGCTGACAGTGTTTTGCCACTACACAGCATAGGAATCACTTTGTGCTGCTTGGTATAGGGTTATAATTAATACAGATGTCTGAAGAGAGGTGAGCCCTTTTACCCTATCCTCTGTCCTCTGAACACCTTCAGTTCTCTTGGGTAGACTCTCTCTAGACTGATGTCAGTTGTAACACCTTAACTCCGTCTCCTTGCCTCTCTACGCTAGTGTGGACTATACCTGTGTGTGATGTATTGGTCTTTCACCCCGTTCTCACCTGTGCCTCTGTTGAGACCTGTCTCTGCACTGCTGGAAACAGCTAACAATGCCTGACACGTGGACGAACTGCTAATTGTTACTTCTTCTGGAGATAGCTCCTATTTTTAAGATAATGTTCCCAAATGATGTCACTGAATGCTATATCCATGTAGCATTCATCTTGCTTGGTTTTTCCTTTTGTAGGTATAAGAGTTACACCTTTCCACCTTGGTGGGTGCCCGGAGGTGGCAGGTCTAGCTATCCTGCCCCTCGCCTCCTGCCTGTCCACTGACAGGTCAGACCTGGGCCTCTTCAGAGGAGGGTTTCTGACACCCGCTTTACCGCTCTTGTCCTCTGCCCCTCAGACCTGAGCTGGGGCACAGGGTGGTCTGGCACTCCCTCTCCAGAGCAACTCAAACTCTTCTCTTTAGGAAGTGGGAAACGTGGAGGAAGTCCAGTGGGATCTGCCCTAACTGTGGAGAGTAGGGCAGAGTATCTATGTGTCAGGAAGAGGCCAAAGGGCATAATTAAGAGATCACCATGTGGCCAGGACTATGGTAAGTGCTTCAGAGGACACCAAAAATAAATGCAATGCCTGTTCTGGAAGATTCCACCAAACACGCAGGGACATGAGACATATATAATTAAAATATTAGTGAATATGAGAAAATATATAACCAACTGCCACATTATTCTATACTGATTGTCAATGCTACAAAAATTCTGGGACAGGATAGTCTAATGTAGATAAAATAAAAGAAGATAAAACGAAATACTGAAAAAAAATTTTTTTTAAGTTTAGAGACAGGGTCTCGCTCTGTTGCCTGGGCTGGAGTGCAGTGGTATGATCATACCTCTCTGCAGCCTCGACCTCCTGGGCTCAAGTGATCTTCCTGCCTCAGCCTCCCGAGTAGCTGGGATTACAGGTTTGCACCACCACACCTGACTACAAAATTTACTTTTGAAGGAGATAGAACTTGACATCAACTTTTAGGTTTTCTTATAATTGATCAAAAAGATGTTCCAGCTGAAATAACAGCAAAGACACTACATTGGGAATGAGCACAGAACATATGATGGGACCAGCTGATTGCAGTAAAACTTTCACAGCTCTACTTATATTTGATTACTCTCTTAATGCCAGTCTAAAAAAATTAAAGAATTGGAAGAAATATGGACAACTCTGCCTCAGAAAACTATTCTAAAGAAATGATACCACAACAGGATATAATCTCATCTTTAAAAAAAAATTCCAGGCCAGACATGGTGGCTTACACCTGTAATCCTAGCACTTTGGGAGGCTGAGGTAAGAGGTTCGCTTGAGCCCAGGAATTTGAGACCAGCCTGAGCGACATAGTAAGACCTTGACTCTTAAAATTTTTTTTTTCAGAGAAGACAACTCTTGAATATTCTTTATTATGATGTTCATTATGTTACCAAAACCAATAGCCTCAACAATGTGTCAGAATTCACATTTCGGCCAGGCTCGATGGGTCAGTCTATAATCCCGGCACTTTGAGAGGCCAAGGCGAGTGGACTGCCTGAGCTCAGGGGTTCAAGACCTAAAATAAATTTAAAAATTAGCTGGGCATGGTAGCATGTGCTTGTAGTTCTGGCTACTTGGAAAGCTGAGGCGGAAGGATTGCTGGAGCCCAGCAGGTCGATGCTGGGGTGGCCAAGAGCATGCTACTGCACTCCAGCCTGGGCGATGGAGTGAGACTCCAACTCAAAAAAAAGAATTCACATTTCATCTGATTTAATAGTCAAATTATTAAAGTTATACAGAGTGATAGGACACGAATTTCTAAAAGGGGTTTTTATTAATATGATAAGCTAATTAATAAGTTAGCCAGTTCACCACCCAACTCTAACGAATGATGATGGGATCAGTTCCTACATTCAACTTCTAGCCTTAAGATCCAAGCTGACTTGTTTCTATGTCATCTGCTAGGTTAGATACATTGGAACCACACTGGGCTGACAGTTTATTTTCTGCTAAGAGGTACAGAGGGAAGAATCATGGTTGGAAACGCACACAGAATGAAACAGCCAGCAAGCAGTTCTCTGCTCCCTGGTCACAGATAATAACTTGGTCTAGATCCCAGCACAGCATCAGTGGATGCTGAGAGAAAAATCATCAGGGCCAATTCAGTGACATCAAATCAAGTAATTATTTGCATCCAAAAAATACAGACACAAAGCTCATGCTGTTCCTGGCACACCATTTATGATAGAATGATCTTTTGTAGCCTACATAACTACGTCAAAATAAAGACAAGCATGTGACTGAGTGGAAGAAACCGAGTAGATTGGTAGGAGGGGAGGAAGAGAAGGAGAGAAAAGGAAGAGGAAGAGGAAAAGGGAGGAGGAAGGGAGAAAGACAGTAAGGGGAAGGGAAGAAATACACCATAACAAAAGCCCTCTCCTCTCCTCACAATTGCTGCTCCTCTGTGAACGTGTGTGTCGGCTGCCCACGGCGAAGCCTCCAATGGCACTGCAATTGTGAGAGCACACGTTTCAATATCAGAAGTATCCAACGCCCTCGAATGTTCTAGACACAATAAAGCGCATAGTAATGTCATACTGTTGACCAGGCGCCCCCAGATTACAAGAAAGTTAAAGTATCCTCAGGACTGTAGCATCTTAGATTGCCCTGTGTAACCAAAGCTGTAATGCTATCAAGAGAATCTGGAAGTCGCTGGAGTCACTTTTGTTCTGTCCAGCATGTTAACAGCCGTGAGAAGACGACCACTTACAATCCCAGCAAGCGTGTCCTCACGTATCCACCACACCAAGAGTGAAGCAAGGAGCGTGGCTCCACTCAGTCTTACTTCATCAAATTAATTGCAAGTCATCAACCGACTTGGCACAGTGTCACAAGCAGCTCAAAGAGCAGTTGCTGAAATGGAAGCAGCTGATGACGTGAGCAGTCAGCATTCGGCGACAATGCCGGGGTGATCACGTTGAATGATTCCAGAGCCCTGCCCGGTGGCTGCCTTCACAGCCTTGCATTCCTGTCCCAACCACTCTCCCACGCTTACCAAGGCCATCACGGAGCGACACCCGCAGGACCCCGCAGGAGTCTGGAAGGCACTAGAGGCCGCAGCCTGTGTTTGGAAGGTGCTTGACCTGCTGTCTTTCAGGTCCTGGGGTTGTAAGCCAAAACACTCCTGGAGGCAGGAGTAGACTGATCTCCATAATCAACTAAAGTCCTCAATGAACAGAAAAGGGTTGCCCAGACCACCGCTAGTACGCGAATGTTAACTTGACAAAGGATTTCAGCCAGCTTGGTTAATTTAATTAGTACGATGATAAACACGACTTTAAAATGGCAAGACAAGGTCCCGGATAAGTGCAGCCCGCGTGTAGCTGGAGGTCCTGAGCAAAGACCCCTGCATTAGCACCAGCCATTGAGCATCAGCCAACCTAGGACGAAAGGCAGCGGGCAGAGGTGGCCCAGGGCACCCTGCAGACCACCGTCCACGTCAAGTGGCTGCCACTCCATTACTGACACTGATGACAACAGAAGAGAAATAGACCAGCACAATTTGAATCAACATGAAACCAAGACAGAACTACAAATGACAACAAGCCTGGGAAACACCGACACAGGACAGCAGACAGTAGGATGTAAAAAAAAGGAGATTACAGACCAGCCCTTCCAACACAAACAAAACCAGACACGTACAACAACATTGGTAGTGGCATTGCTTAAAGAAAAAGATAGTTTTTCAAAGATCATCAAAGTCTGCAGGTCAAGCACATTTTATAGCATACAAATGTATCCAAAAGCGTCTTTAACTCTCACATTAAAGTAAGTGACAGTGAATTGCTTTTAATCCTTACCCAGCCAAAGTTATTTTTGATGGTCCTGGCAGAGTTGATCCTGACGGGAAGGCAGACCCGTTGACTACCGATGGTAAGGCTCCATTATCAAACTGCACAATACACAAAGTCAGAGGCAGGAATACTTTGAATTAGCGTGGGTTTTAAAAGTTCTAGTCAGCCAGCCCCTAGGTACAGATAAAATGATTTAGAGGTTTACATCACAATCCCTTTACAAGCAAGCCCAGGCCTTCTTGCCTTGGTGATGCTACTTATCACCTAAGCAGGCTCTAGGGCAGACGTCATCTCACAGGCCTGCCAGGGAGTATGTGAAGGGTGTGGGGCCGCCATCCGCAAGCCGGCCAGTGACACACACAGCTATCCATCAGCTGTCAAAGAGTTCTTTTCATCTTCATGAACGAGCCACTGTGAAATAAGTTCAGTTACACATTTTCACACACAGAAATGTTCTTAAATTATATTTTTAGGATAAGAGATCTTGACATTTGAAGCCCTGTTTAATCTAGCCAAAAGATATTTTGTAATCAGTGTTAACAAATTCAAACGCAATGCTATAATCTCTGCATTATCCATGTTCTTTGCTTTCTCTGTTCTCATTTTTAAAAATGTAACTCATTAGCACAACTCACAGAAGCCCTTCACAAGGAATGAGTAACAAAACCATTACTAACCTACTTCCCTTCTATTGGTAGCTTGAAGAAATTAGAAGTATGGGGTGAAATTAGGTCTTGAGATGATTTGCATATGTCACAGTTAAACATCCTGTCCTTGTCCTCTCCGCCCCCCAAAATATTATTATTATTATCTTTTAGCTGGAGTCTTACTCCATCACCCAGGCTGGAGTGCAGTGGCTGGCTCATGGCCACCCAGCATCAACCTGCAGGGCTCAGGCAATCCTTCTGCCTCAGTCTTCCAAGTAGCTGGAACTACAGTCACATGCCACCACGCCTGGCTAATTTTTTGATTTATTGTAAAGATGAGGTCTTGTCAAGTTACCCGGGCTGTTCTCGAACCCATGGGCTCAGGCAATCCCCTAACCTTGGCATCCCAAAGTGCTGGGATTATAGGGTTGGGTCACTGTGCCTGGCCCAAACAATTGTTTGAGTTGGAGTCTCATTCCATCACCCAGGCTGGAGTGCAGCAGCATACTCATGGCCACCCCAGTGTCAACCCACGGGGCTCCAGTGATCCTTCCACCTCAGCCTTCCAAGTAGCTGGAACTACAGGCACATGCCATTGTGCCCAGCTAATTTCTGATTTACTATAGAGACAAGGTCTTGCCAAGTTGCCTGGGCTGGTCTCGAACCCACAGGCTCAGGCAATCCACTCACCTTGGCCTCCCAAAGTGCTGGAATTACAGGCTGAGCCACCGAGCCCAGCCCAAACAATTATTTTTAAATCAACTTATCTTGAAAGCTTTACTTAAGAAGTATAGCCTTGGAAATGCATGTTTCATTCATTCTCTTTGCTTCCTCTCTGCTGCCCCATTTAAGTTGTGTATAATTGCCACCTGCTGGGGCCTGATGGCACTGCAAACCGCCTTGGGTCCAACTTCGTTGTGTATAGCCAGTCCGGGACCCCTCTGCGGTGCCCTCCCCTGGCACATGCACAGAAGGGAGTGTTCATGAGGTCCTGAGACTGGTATCTCTGCAATCACAGTGACAGTCTGAGGGGCTTAGTATTTTTTGGAGAAAGGATTTCACAGTTCTCAGGGCTGAGGCTATTATTTGCATAAATCAGATAAAATTCCTTTTTTTTTTTTCTCTCCTTTGCTTATTTAGCCCCAAAGTGAAGCAGAGAAAAGAGAATGCCTTTTAGGTACTACAGAGGCTGCAAATCTCAGGCGACTTCAAGCTGGATTCCATGAGTGGCTCCCGCAGTGTGTGGCCACCAGGAGCAAAGGAAGTGAACTCCGAGGTGGGTGGGGCCTCTCAGGCTGTACTGTGTGCACACGTCACCTGGGGACCCTGTTAAAAATGCAGATGCTGAGCCAGGCTTGGTGGCTCAGCCTGTAATCCCGCGCCTTTGGGAGGCTGAGGTGAGTGGATTGCCTGAGCCCGCAGGTTCGTGATCCGCCTGGGCAACTTGGTAGACCTCATCTCTACATAAATCAAAAATTAGCCAGGCGTGGTAGTGCGCGCCTGTAGTTCCGGCTACTTGGAAGGCTGAGGCAGAAGGATCGCCGGAGCCCAGCTGGTGGAGGCTGCGGTGGCCGGGAGCGGCCACTGCACTCCAGTCTGGGGCGACAGAGTGAGACTCCAACTCAAAAAACAAAAACAAATACAAGAAACAAAACTGGGGTCTGTCAAGGAAGCAAGGGATCCAGGGTGCAGCCCACTCACTGCTGAAAGGCTGTCCCTGAGGCCCGTCTGGACAAGAATTCAGGAAGCCAAAACAGGGACAATAATAAACACAGTCAAGGAAAGATGGGGAGAAGGACAGCACCTTGTGGCCAAGCACGATGCTTCTGGGACAAGATCTTAGAGTTAGAGAGCAAGTTCAATGTGCACCTCCTGACTGACGACTGGAGCAGTGAAGGCAGGCAGGCAGCAGCTTGGAAGAGCCGGCGCTGGGAGGCTGCCCTGCAGTGACAGCACAGACTCCACCCAGGGGCTCACCAGGTCTTGGCTCACACCTGCTCACTTCTGCACTGCTGACACTCTATTCCCACGGCCCTTACTTACTTGTCCCACAAATGTTTCGTGCTACTTGCAAGCATTCCTTGAGAGATGCCCTCTACACTGGTGACCCCCAGCCTCGTCCCTCCAGCCCAGATCTTCCTCACTCCAGGATCCCGTGTGGCAGCTTCACTTGGATGTTGGGGACGTCTCAAACTTAAGACGCCCAAATGAACTCCTAGGCTCGCTCACAAAACCTGCCCTGTCTCAGCTTCATTGATGGGCACTCCATCCGTCCGTCTGTCCGGGCTAAAAACCTTGGGGCATCCCTGAGTCCTCTGTTTCTCTCACATCCCACCTCCAGTCCACCAGCAAATCCTGTCGGCTCAACCGTCAAAGTGTCCCAAGAAGCTGTTTCTTGCCATCTCCACTGCTATCACCTCATTTGAGCCATAATCTCTCACTCAGATGATGGCAATGACAGGCCTGCTCGATTTCACCTCGACCCTTCCTTGCCACCAGCCCCCTTTCAAGCAGAATGAAAGCCACGTTCTTTCGATGTCTTTGCCTCCTTCCTTGTCCCCTCCCCTAGCTCGTTCCATTCCAGCGACACTGGCCTCCTTGCTACCACAGCAGGCATGACCCTGCCCGAGGCCCGTACTGTTCCCTCTGCCTGGAACGTTCTTCCACGTGATCATCACATGGATCGCTCCCTCATCTCTTCCAAGACTGCTCAAATGTCACCTTCTCAGTGGAGCCAGGACCACTGTGTTTCCACGTACAATAGGTCTTCCCCCCTCCCCCAACCCCTCCCCCAAACCCCTTCCCTCGTTCTCCTCACAATGTAATTGTTACTAGACTTGCTAATTGTTCGTCTATATAAGTTTCGGAAGAATAGAGTTGTGTGTTGTTTTCTGGGGTTCACTTAGTTCCCTGAGTAACCCACCTCGGGCCTGTGCCCACCCTGCTGATGGGTGACAAGTATCCTGCCTGTGCCAGGTTTTGTGCCAGTTCTCTGTTTACGGAGATGTACAAGACACACATGGTCTCTGCCCCCGTAAGCCTGCATTCCTGTGACTGGACGCAAAGAAGCCAGCCAACCAACCGCCATAAGGTAGTGATGGTGGCAAGGAGGAGACAGCACTGTGACTGTGACTGGTGTCGACACTGGGGAGTTAGGGAAGGCTCTTCTGGGGAGGCGACACTGGATAGCAAGACTCAGGAAAAACAGCTATTTGGCTTCCACTTATATGTGATATATGTGTAGCCTGGCGTACTCATAAGAGCAAACTTCACAAAAGCATCTCCACAACACCAAGGAAGGTGAAGGATGTCCTGGACCAAGTAGGGGGTATGGCTGGCGGCAGGACCGCAGAGGACAAGTTCAGCAAGGGGGCAGAATGTTGGCCTGGAGGCTGCAGGGAAGGGTCAAACGGCTTCATTGCGCTGACAAAGAAGCGTGTCTGACACTGACTCCACCCCAGTCTCACAGAGCGAGGAAGGGGCTGGGTGCCTGGTAGATGTTTCATTGTTGATTTTTAACTGGAGGGTACATCATATTTCCTGAGTGATTCCAACTTCTTTTTTTTTTTTTTGAGTTGGAGTCTCACTCTGTCGCCCAGACTGGAGGGCAGTGGCCGCTCCCGGCCACCGCAGCCTCGACCTGCCGGGCTCCGGCGACCCTTCCGCCTCAGCCTTCCGAGTAGCCGGAATTACAGGCGTGCGCTACCATGCCCGGCTGATTTTTGATTTTTTTTATTGTAGAGATGAGGTCTCGCCAAGTTGCCCAGGTGGGTCCCGAACCCACGAGCTCAGGCAATCCACTCACCTCAGCCTCCCAAAGCGCGGGATTACAGGCTAAGCCACCGAGCCCGGCTGATTCCAACTTTAATGATCAAAATTTCAAGAGACAATTTTGCCCAATTGTATTTTTTAATTAAAACAATGACTTACTTGTTGTGTAATCAGATTTAATTTTGCAGGTACTGGCAAAAATCTTCCCACTAAAGCAGTCATTGGTTTAGGGACATCTGTAAGGAAGACAATTAGCATTAGTTGGTAGCATATATTATTCCCCTTCCACTTGAACATGGAAGAAAATACATAAGTATATTACAGATGTATCATGAGCAAAGTTATTTAAACTTATCTTGATCTTAGTTATGTTTTTTATTCTATAAAACCTTTCAGGGCTGGGTGTGGTGGTTCTCGCCTGTAATCCCAGTACTTTGAGAGGCTGAGGCAGGAGGATTGCTTGAGCCCAAGAGTTTGAGATCAGCCTGGGCAAAATAATGAGACCTCATCTCTGCAAAAAAAATATATTAGCCAGGCCTGGTGGTGCACACCTGTAGTCCCAGCTACTTGGGAGGCTGAGGCAGGACTGCCTGAGCCCAGGAGGTCAAGGCTGTGGTAAGCCATGATTATATCATGGCACTCTAGCCTGGGTGACAGTGAGACCTCAACTCAGAAACAAAAACAAAACAAAAAGCCTTTCCGGTCAGGTTTTTTTTTTTCCAAACTTATTAAACCTATCTTTATTTTATTTATTTATTTATTTTGAGGTAGGGATTGGTCAATTACTTGACCTGTGCTTCCAGGAATAGTCTACTGTGCTAAAAAAAATGTTGCCAAGGTGTACTGGGGGTGCCATGGCAAACTCACCAGGACACGACTGGATGTTTTTAAAAATTTATTTTGTAAAGACAAGGTCTCATTCTGTGGCCCAGGCTAGAGTGCGATGGTGTGATCGTAGCTCACTGCAGCCTTGAACTCAAGCAATCCTCCCTCCTCAGCCTCCCCAGTAGCTCAGACTACAGGTATGCCTGGTTTTCACTGGATATTTTATATTTTCAAATAAAGCCCAGTGACATCTGTTGAACTACTTTAATTTATGTGTACTCTTTTTTATTCACATGGTTACTAAGTTTGGACCAAACTACTTAATAATGGAACTGATAGGTATTTCTTTGGCCCAAAAGCGCCATGAAAAGCGCCTTGGGTCCCCTCCCACTGTGGGAGCTTTTCTGTCCTCTCAATAAATCCTGCTTTCACATACACACACACATACAAACACACACACACACAAACATTCTTGAGGCACCTGGGCGCTGTGAACCTCTGTGCTTGTGAGTCCAAGCAGAAAGAGAATTGTATCTTTTTCTTCTGAAGCAAACATGTTTCCTGTTCTAGGCTTATGAATCCTTTGAGTAAGAAAACTTAGACTTCAGCAACAAGACTCATTTCTTTTATGGTGATGTTTAATATGTACACAGTGTAAAAAGGAGACTGGGGTGGGGCTATGATGACATGACAAGGAAATGGACTGGAAAACACCGTCTAAGCCCTCTCCTTCTGAGGCATTAGGATTTTGTCACATCCCAGGAGGAAGGGAAGCAGGAAAGGCCACCTCCCTGCCCACAGAGAAGATCACAGATGCAGCACTGACCTATAGGAAACCAGGCCAAAGGCCCAACCCCGGCTTCCTCACCCTGAAAAAGTAAGTATCTTGAAGATATTTTTTTCTGTCTCTGGATAAAGAGACTATCAGGATGGAATGGGGCGAGAAGGAGTCATATTTTGTCTTTTTGCCTTAGACTCCACAGGCTAATAAAACTACATCTGGATTTGATATTGGTTTTTAAATTAGTGGCAAGCTCAGTGAACTGTCTGATAATGAAATATTCTGGTTAAGTCAAGAGCTAGAGTAATGTGATTATGTGTTGTCCACACAGAGATGCCTACTCTTCGAGAATTATTGTGTACCTTTTGTTAAACACAGTCCTAAAATAAGTCATTTCATCTTTCTTTAATCATTCAATAAAGCATTTCAGAATAATCAAGTACTTATAGGCCTCCATTATTATTGTGCCAGTTTAAAGAAGGTTTTTAGATGCTCAGATAAATAATTTGACAGTTTTTTCAGAACTCGTGGTGATAAAGCAGAGTGATCATTCTCACTGATGACACTGAAATGCTTTCATTAAAATTCAGGTCACTAATACCCACACCTGAACGGTCAACCACCAAGCCAATCTAGAAAAGACTGATGTTTCAACCCAGGCACATCTAGGCGTTCCCACATGTGGAATGACTAACAAAGCTGTGTTGTATGAGCCGTCACCTGTTAGGATCAAGAGCTCTCTGCAGCCAGCTGACGTGAAGGACAGCCATCCGAGAATTTGAGACAGTCAATACAAGGCATACACATTAGTCTATAAAGATTTATTTTGTAGCCGGGCTCGGTGGCTCAGCCTGTAATCCCGTGCCTTTGGGAGGCTGAGGTGAGTGGATTGCCTGAGCCTGTGGGTTCGAGACCCGCCTGGGCAGGCGGGACCTCATCTCTACAATAAATCAAAAATTAGCCGGGCGTGGTAGCGCGTGCCTGTAGTTCCAGCAACTTGGAAGGCTGAGGTGGAAGGATCGCTGGAGCCCAGCGGGTCGAGGTTGCGGTGGCCGGGAGCGGCCACTGCACTCCAGTCTGGGCGACAGTGAGACG